CCAGAGCCTCGGGCTGGCAGGCAGCGAAGAGCAGCCCGAAGACCTGGGCCGCCGTGAACCACACCCAGCTGTGCGGGTGGCGCAGGTGTGTGTGCGTGTGACCTGGAGGCGGGGATGCAACTCAGTGCCCGCTCCTGGGGTGCGGAAGCAGCCAGGACAAGGCGACCCGCACCTGGAAGCTCAGAGCTGGGACACTGCCTCAGGGCCCAGTTCCAGGTTCAAAGGAAGGAAGATGGACTCATATCATGAGGCAGGTCTCACAAGCTGGCCCAGGCTACCTCAACTCATGGAGACCCTCCTGCCTCAGCCTCCAGGGTGCTGGTTACAGCGTGGGCTACTGTACCAGGCTCTGACGGGCTTTTATTTTTTTTCCCATTGTAGACATTGTTAACACCATCTACTTCTGCAGTGTTCCCCTTCCAGTTTCCCAAATCTATCAGCTGTTACAGCGGGTCAGGGCAGAAAGGACCTACTCCAGATCCTGCTCAGGGTCTCGGCGGGCTTGGTGAGCTGAATGAGGCTGCACTCCCTGGCCAGCTTGTTCAGCAGCGTCAGGAAGCTGAAGAGCAGGCGGTCTGTGGCCTTCTCCTCTGTCTCCTCCGCAATCTGGGCACGGGCAGAGGTGCGTCTGTGAAGTCGGGAGGCGCCTGCCCTCCACCCTCCCGGGACAGTGCCCCCTGCAGGCGGACCAGGGAACACTCTCCTGACCCAGCGGCCGTGCCTCCCCAAAGCACTTTTCAGTGAAGGCTGGCCGCAGGTTCGTTCCCAGCGATCACTCACATCCCGGAAGTTTTCAGGGTCGATTTCCTTTTCAATGATGGGAAGAACATCCCCGAGCCTCTTCTCAAAGTCGGCTCCTTCGCTCTCCACAAACAACCCGCAGGTGAGGGCAGCCAGCTGTCTGTTCAGCCGCTGTGAGAACAAACCGGAACCGGCTCAGGGCGGCCAGGGGCAGCGGACGCAGCCTCCAGATGCCAGGCTTCGCTCGGCCCGCTGTCAGGCTCTGAACGCCAAGACACGGGGGAAACTCACACCCAGGGATACGGTTAAAGCGGCACTTTCATTCGCCTGGCTCTGCGAGGCATAACTCCACTAGGGCTGAAAAGGAGCGGAAAGACGTCTCCCCCTCACCTCCAAATTATGGGATCAACGAGCCATTCACCAGTGGGGCCTTCTGGGGTTTAGGGCAATGGAGGTGGGGTGCCGGGAGCACCACGAAGCACACATCAGAAAAGAGGGGCACCCACCAGCAGGGCCCGGCTCTGCCACGTTTGTAACGGAGTGAGACACAGGTGATGTTTTGGTTATTTCTCTGTAATTTCTTACACTTTTGGAAATTTCAAAAATATTTTACCATCATATAAAAACAGGTGTTTGGAATAAGCCAACTCAACAGTGCATGCAAAATGTGGATTTATTTCCCCCTTTGATACAGGGTCTCACAGCATAGCCACGGCTGGCTTTAAACTCGCAGCGATCCTCCTGCCTCAGCCTCCTGAGTGCTGGGAGGACAGGGGGCCACCACGAGTGCCCAGTGTGGGCCCAGTGTGCGGGCAGAGCGACACTGACCTTCCTGGCTCCGAACCAGGCGGCGACCATGTGGAAGAGCCTGTCCCTCTGCTCGGGGCCCAGCCTGCCCAGCAGCGCCTTGAGCGCCAGGGACGCCATCTTCCTGCAGGAGGCCGAGGCATCGTTGACCATCGTCAGGCAGAGCGGGACGAAGAGCAGGCCGCAGTTCTCATGCAGCAGGCCCTGTGGGAGGGAAAGGCTGAGCGCCGGTGGGGCTCGCA